ATGACCATCCAGCAGGAACTTATCCCTTCCCCGCCGTTGCCTCAAATTCTTCAATCTCATCTACTTACTTCACATACCTACTACCGCTCTCGATTCCAATATACTAGTAGTCGATCGACAACGAGGGACGAGATAGAGGGCGAACCGTGCACCACTACACCGAAGTCTTTGAAAACCCGTTTGCTCCCGAAGTTCAAAATCCATATGCTTGTCATGTATGTATTGTTAATGTAAGAGGGTCAGAGAAGTAGAGTGATAGAAGAGATAACGGGGAGAAACCTGAAAAGCATCTACCAGTACTGTTCATTTTTAGATCAGACTTCTCCGCTGGGCTCTGACTACTGCGAAATACGACTTCAGTGCTTCAGTTCTGAGCGGAGAAGTGGTAGAACTTCTACCACTCCGGGCACCACTACTACAGGAGCGAATTTTGCAATCTCGAAAATGAGTCATTCAGCTGCAGCTCACCTCCAGTGAGTAATTGTTGTAGTTCATGTTGTCAGAGAATGTGCATCTTGTATCGCTGTCCGTTTTTGAAGCATCGAAGATCTGAAATATTAGAGCTCTGTTATGCGGTTTGTGTTTATCCCATTGCTCTTTTCTTCTTCTTGCTGCGATCGCTTTATCTTACACACGAATACCACCTGCAACCTATCCTTCCAGCAATCTAAAATCCCACGAATGTCAGACGAGTCAAATTTGTCAAACCAGTCAGATTCTATTCAAGACAACCACTCTGTTATATCGCCCACTAACTAGGAGTGTCAATCATCAAGTGCTTGCAAGTAGGATAATGAAACAGCCTTCGCCGTTGATCACTACATTTTTGAAGTACGACATGCACTCTACAGTGCGTAGCAAAAGTATGTGGACACCTCAAATTTTTGTCTGCGAAATTGCCTTTGATTTTGCGATATGAGACCTTCACTGTTGAATTCCTCATAAGCGAAAACATAGGAATACACTACTTCTGAGCACTTTGTGAACTACTGTACAATTATTTATTGTTTTGAAAAAGTTTCTTAATAACAAAAGTATGTGGACACTTAACAAAAAACAAAAGTATCATGAAAATTAGAAGTTGGTTTTCCTCCAGCGTTCACTATTACTTCGAACATTCTGTCTGGCATGCTGTGGACAAGATTTGTCATGGTGTCTTCGATTTCCTCCCATGCAGCAACTACCGCCTCCTTCAAGTCTCGCACGCTGTTGTACTGCCGACTGTTCATGTAGATTCGTCGAACCATGATCCCCACAGGTTTTCGATTGGGTTGCAGTCAGGAGAACACGCCGGCCAATCCATCACTTTGATACCATTGCGTTGGAGCCATTTTCTAGTAGAATTTGAAACATGCACGGCGGCGTTGTCCTGCTGCAGCACATGTGTCCATCTCGTGGCCCACTCAGAAAAGGGAAGAGCTTAGGCTCAAGCACTACTTGGTATTCCAGAGTCATACGGCACGATGGGAAGGCAGGTTCCAACTTTCCGCTGCTTCCAAAACCACCCCACACCATCAAAGAGCCGCCTCCGAAATTTCGCCTCGAGAACACCAACGGATCGCGACGAAGGTCTCTCCAGTAGTGCCGATATCCATCTGGACCGTCGAGATTGAACTTTTTCTTATCAGTGAAGATAACCTAAGAAAGAAATGCGCATAAGATGTTGTCCTTTCTGATTTTACAAATTCTCAAAAACTGCACCTTGTTCCTCGACGTCGCCATGCTTGCACGCGCAAAGTTCAGTCTCACCAGCTGGTGTTGGGCAGTCAGACAGGAGCTTTTTTATGGTCTCGAGTGATGTGTTCATCCGAATTCGAATAGAGCGCCATATCGTCATTTTTGAGACCGGTAGATTCATCGCAGTATGGACCTGTGCCACAGAGAGGGGAGAGTTTGAGGCAGTACGCGCTATTCTTCTGATGTCTTTTGCGGACAAAGATCGTGGGCGCCCCGAAATATGTGCTGAATGGTAGCCATCAGGATTCTGGAGGTATTTACCAACGCACGTCGCCGAACGTCCGAGCTGTCTTGCAATTTCTCTATTTGAGTGTCCAGCAGCACTGAGAGCTCGAATCTGAGCTTGTTCTTCTTCGGAGAGAGTACACACCACGACGAGGAATGAGTACGGGTTAATGAAGTAGAGACGATAAAATGGATTGCAGATTTGGAGCCAAACTTTGGACTTTCTCAGGTGTCCACATACTTTTGGTACAAACAAGGAAATTCTATTCAAAAATATGTTACGAAAGTGAAGCTTCGTTATTGCTCGAGTGCCCAATTATAGGGTTATCGGCCAACGAGGATTCGATTGAGGGAGGATCCAGATCAAGAAGTTTTGATACATTAAAACTAGATTTTGAGGTGTCCATATCCGTATTTTTGTTACGCAGTGTACTCCAATTCAGAATCGTAGTGGTTCATTGAACGAGATGTGGCCTACGCAATAACTTGCGGGGTGCGGACGGTGTTGGAAGTCGGCGTTCTTGCCCTCTCGAAAATATCTAGTACCAGTTCATCGTTCCTGGAAGGTAGAAAGCTTGGTTGGCTAGACAGGAGCCGTCCCCTGATTCCACCACCGAACCCGCGCGCGTGGTAAGCGCACCACTTGTCTCTACACCACTCGAACTGGTTCGGAAAAAAACCGCCCTAGCAACACATTTCAAATTGCGATGAAGTTGCTGTCGTGTTTACACCTGAGTGTTCGAGGTCTCAACGGCAATGATCTGTTTTGCTTCAACATTTCCTGGCATTACCGCGGCCGCACCCCGAGGACCTCGTATTATCATTTCTCAATCAGAATATAAGGGACTCCTGCTACATGTGATCTTCTTGCAACTCTTGCCACTGTTGTTACTATTAGGTTGTCGCATAAGTTCTTATACACGACTTTTTTGTAAATATCTCAAAAACGAACCAGCCTGGAGATTAGAGGTATGCACCATCACCATTCACTACTCGACGCCAGCGCTCAGGCAGCTTGTCGATTCCATCCTTCCAGAACGACGGAGGCTGGGACTTGAAGAAGTCGTCGAGCGCCTTTCTGACCTGATCCTTTGTTTCGAACTTTTTTCGTCCAGATAGTTTAGTCAGAAGGAGCGAGGTCAGGGCTGTAGGGAGGGTGGGCGACCATCAGCCATCCGTACTTCTCCAGCTCGGCCTGGGTCGCCTTTGCAGTGTGAGGTCGGGCGTTGTCATGGTGGAAGTAGATTTCCGCATTCCTTCCACGAGTACGGTCGACGTGATCTTTCAATTTCCGCAGCTGGGTCACGTATGTGGAAGCGTCAATCGTCTGTCCCTTCTCCAGCAGCTCCCAGTACTCCATGCCTCTTCTGGACCACCAACAGGACAGGAGAACCTTTTGGGGTGAAGGTCGGCCTTTGGGGTGGCTTCTGGCTGTTCTCCTTTGTCGACCCACTGCCGCTTCCTCACAGGGTTATCGTAGAGGACCCACTTCTCATCTCCAGTGATCATCGAGTTGAGAAAGTGAAGCCTCTTTTGGAAAGTGAGGAGAGAAGTGCAGGTGGTCACCCTCCTCGAGAGGTCATAAGCGGACAGTTCATGTGGGACCCATCGACCAAGCTTTGCTACCTTGCCGAGCTTTTCTAGTCCACGTGCAACCGTCGAATGATCATAGCTAAGCATGGTCGCCATTTCTCTGGTGGTGTACGGGTCCTCCTCCACGGTGGAACGTAGTACTTCCAAATCCAACTCCATCGGCCGACCCGACCTCGGAGCATCTTCGAGAGAAAAGTCTCCTTTCTTGAATTTGGCGAACCAATTCTTGCATGTCATGTAAGAGATGACGTCCTCACCGTATGTATCCACCAGCTTGGTATGGGCTTCCTTTGCATTCCAGCCGAAATCGTGGAGCAAAACCAAACAGTGGCGCAGGTACGTTTTGTCACAGTGCAAATTGTGCGACATTGTGTACTGCAAATGCAAGCTCGGTGAGTGATAGCTAGTGTAATGAAAGAGTATAATGTACACGTCACGCACACGTGATGACGTAATACCAACATCCATGCGAACGAAATAGGAGAGGATCAAACACGTGTATAAGAACTTATGCGGCAACCTGATACACGAGCTATGACATGAGTGGGGCCTCCCTCCTAGTTCGTCCCATCAGTTGTTTTCATTTTCTGTCACCCACCAATCCAACCGGGACAAGACTGTACAACTCAATTGAAGACTACACTTGTGAAATGAGAGTGGATTAAACTTCGGGCAATGCAGATGAGCAGTGCAACATGCACCGTGTCTTGATACCTACGTGAGGAACACCATTGTGGAGCCATGGCCGATGGCGAGAAGGAAAAATAACCTTGCTCTGCTCACGTCAAAGTATGCGTCACGGGGGCCTACATGCTACCACCGACAGGATGTCCTTACTTTGAACCGTTGCTTCCCTTCCTTTTGATTCGATTGCGACCTTCAGCTCCCAGCCCACCATTTTTGTAAAAATCAGCAGGCAGAGGTCACAAAATTTTATTGATGGTTAATTTTTTGAGTTGACCGCCTGAGGCGCCCAGTACACTGCTGGGCATCCTCACGTGCATCTAAAAGCACACAGTTCAATGGGAGATCATGATTTTGTTAGATCGTGGTGGCCAAAGGAACGAATTTACACACTGAGTCCCCAATACCTGACAGATAGGTGAGAAACTCGCTGCGAAATCAACGACTCTCTTCTTCTACCTATTATCGGATCTTATTGGGTGTGATGACGTTCTGACCCCACTAATGGTGTTCTCTTGCCACGCCCCACACTTCACATTTTGAAACTGACTCTCTACAGTTCGAGCAACACCTGACCCTAGCTCTTCAAGTGGCTCTCCAGGTATACCTGAATTTCCGGACAAACAAACAGACAGACGTGGCAGATTTCATATAGTATGGGTAGTATAAGTACTAAAACTATAGAATTGTTTATGATTAAATTCAACGAGCGGCCCGTCGTGTGGTAGTCCGCACGTAATTGTGAACGACGCATAACACGGTCAAAAATGGTGGTAGGATCGAAAAGGCGAAGATGGCATTTGCGGGCTTACTCTATAATAAGGGCAGAAGTCCGCAGCATATATAGTTCCATATCCAACAACTTCTTTATTCTTCTTATCGCGGTACAAGCCTCTAACATTGTAATTGTACTCATCAGGAACGGTTTTTCTGTCGACCGTCATGCCACAGCTGAGCTTTGCCTTGCGAGTTGTACTACACCTGCAAAAGATACCGTTAAGTATACACTGCAACGATTTTCATATACCTATACACTCTGTAGCCTACGTAGGTGATTTCTGTACGAAGCAAGCTGCCGGTGTTTCTACCCTATAAACATCCTGGATTTGAACCCGGGACAGCGCGAGTGGTGAGCGCGTCATTTGCCACTCTGTCACCTCCGCCTGAGACGATTCAATAAGAAGTGTGGCTAGTATTGAGAATTAGCTTGGTCGTGAGTGGGAAGAGATCGCGAACTGTGGGCTGCATCACAAAAAATGGATGTTGAACCAATTGTTCGCCTGCACTGTTGGCCTGCATATGTCGTGTAGGTTTGATGAGAGCGATTTTCGCTTAAACGCAGCGCCCACGTTTATTTGATGTTCCCGCGCCCTCTCTGGATATCATAGCCCTCCCTATGAGGATGCAGTATGTACTAGTTTTGCATCTCAAAAAGGCGAGAGGATAGCGCCGTTCGCTAGTGAAGAGTCGGCCGCCCCGCCCACCTGGCCAGCATAGGGTTCTATATAGGGCATTTTCCATGATTTTTTCTGCTTTTTTCTTCACTACTGGATCACGTATTATATGAGCTCCATAGGTCATAATTCGGGCTCAGCCTTCAGAGGCTAAGTCAAGGCGGTTAGGTCAACCAGGTGGGCGGGGTGGCGCGATTTTCTCGCATTTTTGAGCTGCGAAATTAGTACATCCTCCACCCTTGTCGACAAAGCTACGATATCTAAGGAGGGCGTAGGAACATCAAATGAATACGGGCGCTGTCTTTAGAAGCAAGCAGTGATGAATTCTTGAGGAATAATACGCTTTGCAGAACAGAATTTGGCGCTCCCAAGCAGGCGCTGCGTAGCGCCTCATCCAAGAAAGGTGCCTCTATAGCGCCCTATCAAGCTGCAACATACCGAAACGAACGCCCCGCGCCTGCCCGCCCATAAATGTCCGACCGATGCTGATGCTCGTATCGCTTCATTTGCGAAGTACAAATGAAGCGAAGGGATTGATATGAAGCGGCTGCGGTTTTGCATGGATATATGAGTACATAGATGCACCGTGTCCACCGAAGCGGTCATTGGCACAATGTCTGCTGCAGACTGTCCGAAGTGCTTTCTGTATCGTGTAGAACAAGGTTTTAGGTTCTTGACTGCTTCACTCCGTTTTTCAATTTTTCTCCGTTTTTTTTCATTGCTTTTGTTCTCAATAGGCGCTACCCTGATATATCCGTTTTGAGAGCGAAGATGCGTGAGGTCCACCTTTTGGTGCACTTAGTAGTACGCTCTTGTAATACTGGTTCGCAATGAAAGGTATTCTCAAAAAGCTTTCCGCTCCAAACTGACACGTAATTCCTGGAGTGTAGCCGTGCTCGCTACTAAACAGCAGTGGTGCAAAATCAAAAAAAAAGCGTTTGAAAATCCATTTAACTGCGCAGCAATATCGAACACGAATTACCTTTGGTCATCGTACATCGTACAAAACGGATACGGATTCACCAAGTTCCTCTTTATCCATGTCAGACAGCTCTGCTTGGCGAAGGTGCAGCCGAGATTTCGTCCCCAGGTCATGTCTTCGGCTTTACTGAAAGATAAACATTTCATGTTGAGGAGAAGATCTCTACGAATGCTAACATACTCCAGTGCACTATGCTGAAATGAAATGTACTTACTCGTAGTTCACCTTGTACCATCCGGAATCTTCAAACAGTGCCAGCGTAAGACGGGACAAAGCATAAACTTGAGTAGCTATACCAGTCATTGCCTCGTTCTTAAAATAACAGTATGAATGCTCAGCCGTAGATCAGTCTACTTCGGGATGCGGCACGCACTCTACTTCCATTCAGAGTCGCAGTGGCTTATTGAATGCGACGTGGTTTTAACATGAGAATATCGGTGTGCAAGTAGCTCAGAGACCAATCTGGTATCAATTTACTGTCCGCAGAAGGTAGAAGGCTTGGTTATCCTGTGCGGGTGCCGATTTCACTCAACAGTGCGCGTGCCCCCAGTCAGCACACCACCTTTGCTTGCTTTAGAGAAAGGTCGCGCTCTCTCAGTCACTGGTTGTGTATGCATTTTCTCAGACGAACATTAAAGGCAGCGTCCGCGAGTAGTTGGCATCTTCCTTTTCCTTCGTGAGTAGGTAGAGTCCGCAGTGGCAGCGACTGCATCATTCTCGCCCCGCAAAAGAGAGCAACAGGCCCAGGATTCTGTCGTTCCTCCCATTGGCCACACCCACCGTTGTGCTCGGCCATAATAACAGAAGACTTGCCGAAGGACATAGGCAGGGATATTATTGGCGAAGAAATCAGCTGTGATTAATTGTGGAGACATCATCCACCACAACACCATCGTCCTGTGATCTCGTCCAATCATATCGTTTGCTCTCCCTCTTACGAGTGCCAACTTGAGGGTTTCCATCAGGCACCTAATTTTTCTGTTTTGCCTTCAGTTGACTTTTTTGGCATCCTGGAATTGCTATTCCAGCACCACTACTTCGGATATCTCATCGTGGCTTTGCCTTCAACGCGCTGTAAGGGAGCCGTTCCAGCTAAGGTATCGCACATATTCCAGAAAGCATGGGCGCAAAAGTGCGTCCTATCAGTCTCACTTCTGTTGAGACACTTAGCGACATGATGTACAAAAGGAGGTCGCAAAGACGGTAAAGAAGTGGATATGCTCAAGTGTTCACTTCTTGATATTACTCGGTTCGATACTAATATGTGAAAGTAACAAAATAACTCACAGGCAGATTGAATTTTTGAATCCAGGCAACTGCCTTTACGCGCTTCGTATCCCTCACAGCATGATGAAGGTATTTTCCAGTTTGTACGGCGTTAGCATTTCACAATAATCACCCAAGCATCCGCGAGCACTCGTGAGCACACTCCTTCTCAGTGTCTTCAACACGGGTTTGTTCACCCACCTCAAAGACGCGTTTCTCCCAGTGGGATCCAGCTGTACCGCCCCCTCCCTGGTTTTCGAGTTCAGCTCCTTCAATGGTCGAACAGTTCAAGAAACGTCGAGCTTCTTCGCGAACTTTTGGCGTCACCACCATGTAAACGTCATGTTTCATCTATAAGTTCATTTTTTCATCACAGTCAGCGAAGAGGCGTAACATCGACAAAGCGAAACAAGACAGTAACACAGACATGCTGATTGTATTATCGTTCATTCACATTCCACAGTAAGAAGTACACTGGTGTGCAAAACTTAGGGACGAGATGGATAAAGTAACATAAAACACTAATGACTGGGTGGAAGTAAATGAAAGTGTGGGAGCATGTTGCCACTCGCCTAAGGGATATGCACAGGAAGCTAGACTTTTCTCGGTGGAAGAAGAGCTTGAATAAAGTGCCAAATATGGCCGACCGCGCAAATCGAGGCAGTCTATGGGTATGAAAAAAATTTTTTCTCAATCAACGAGTAGCTGCAAAGAACTGTGGTAGTATCCTTCGATACATCATGTCCCGAAGAGAGCATCTGGATGACTTCACTCGAGGAAGGATCATAGGGAAACTCGAAGAAGGTCGAACCATGACGAGTGTAGCCCAGGAGTTCGGTATCGCTCACAGCGTTGTTTCACGTGCATGGAGAGCGTTCCGAACCTTTGGTACTGCTGCCCGAAGACGAGGAGGTGGCCGACCAAGGACAACTACACCAAGGGACGACCGCTACATTGTGCAGCAGGCAAGAAGAGATCCTCGTCAGTCGGCTTCGGCTATTGCAACGACGTTTAACAGGACTCTAGGGCAAGCCATCTCACGCACTACAGTGGCAAGACGACTGCATGGTGGTGGTCTCTTCGCCCGACCGTTACGTTGTGTTTGACCCCCGCGCATCGGCGAGACCGTTTACGGTGGTGCCAGGAGCATGGCGAATGGACCGATGAGGAATGGAGCCGTTCACCCTCATATGGCGAGAGGTGGGAACACGCAACTCCCCCGGAAACATTGTCGAACGTGATCGTACTGGTGGTCGAGGTGTTATGGTATGGGAGGCATCATGTTGCATGGCCGTACTGACCTCCAGAAGCATGGAACCCTCACCAGTCAGCGTTACTGCGACGAGGTTCTCCTACATCATGTCCGTCTTTTCAGAGCTGCAATCGGCCCTGACTTCATTTTCATGGATGACAATGCGCGACCGCATCGAACAGCACAGGTGGAGGAGCTTCTAGAACGAGAGGATATCCGGCGAATGGAGTGGCCCGCCCGTTCCCCCGACCTAAATCCCATCGAGCACGTGTGGGATGCACTGGGTAGACGCATTGCAGCACGACCAAATGCACCAATGACGATCCAGCAATTGTCAAATGCACTGATTGAGGAGTGGAATGCCCTGCCCCAGGAACTCATTACCAACCTCGTGGAGAGTATGGGATCGCGGTGCAGAGCATGTATTGCTGTCCGTGGTGATCACACACCCTATTAGGATCCGTGTAACTTCTTTTGTAGTACCAGGATAAATCGTGAAGACTTATGTGTAATCGACATGGTTGAATAAAAATGTCATAACAATTCGTCTTATTCCGAGTTTCTGTCAGTTGCTTTCTGTACAATATCGTTAAGGTTCTCTCTTGATATGATATGAATTTCGAGCTATGTTGTCTGGCAGAGGCACAGTGATCGAAAGTTGCTTTCGTCCTTAAGTTTTGCACACCAGTGTAGTTTCACCTGTATCACCTGAGTAGTTTATTCTAATTAATATCCGTTGACTAACCACCCCTTTTGAGCTTTCCCAATCTGAGCGTGTGATCTTATGGACAACATTAGGAATGATGGTCATATCCTCTTCTCTGGAAATAGAAACATATTTAGGAGTCAGCAGCTCTCTTCTTCAACTTTCTCAGCAGAAACATAGGACCAGTTCCTGTTGCAACTTGGTCGGTCTCATTGCGGTACTGGGAAGGTCCACCAACTTACCATGGAATTTCGAATGGAGACCTAAGTATTACGGTCTGGGATACTGTTCATAAATATTGGAACCAGCTGCTGCCGTTTACAATATTATGATGCTCATACATTATGCTCATGGCACATAAAGGGTGCAGCCTGATTGAGCCATAAGAACGACCGTATTTCAGTGGTAAGTCTCCCGGTTGGGAAGCGCTAATACGTAAATTCTTTCCCCGGTAGTGCAGATCTTTGCTTCATCACCCATACAAAAGCTCATCACCATTTTTGATATTCTTTCAAAGTGCATTGTATAAGCGAGCGCAGGTCAAGTACTTGACATCACAGCCGTCATAGAGCATAGTTGCAGTGCAACTGGAACCATTCTGGATCGCAGATTTTCGCCTCCACAGGTAATTCCGATAAAATTGTTACTTTCATTGCAAAATCCAGCTCATGATTCGTCTACGAGCCTTATGCTCTACTATCCATCCATCTTTTGACCGTTTTATTCTTCGACCGCAAATTCATATGAAACGAATCATGAGTTGCGAAATTAGGAGCTGTGTTAATACTTTCTTTACCCTTAAGTGAAATTGTTCGACGTTCTGATCAGGATTGAAATGTCGTACCAAGGGCCGTTTGACCTCCTGAACGGGGACATCACATCCGCCTTACATAAAAGCGCCTTTCGTCCATGTCACGGGCGCCCTACGATCCACGATAACCAGTCCTAAGCAAATTTGGGGGTTTGCTCGCTCATAATTCGTCTGTGAGATGGAGGTAGCAGTTTTCATTTCTATAACTACATACACCTTTGAAGCTCTATTGTAACTTGGCGGACATCCCTGGTAAGCAAGACCAGAGACAGACGGCGGTGAGATAACGACTGTGCCATAAGAGCTCTAAGGGTAGAGGATAAAGCAACTCGTACCGGAACGTCAATCCAGCTCAACACTTTTGGAATGTTCTGGATGTGAGCTGAGAGAAGGAAAAATTATATGAGTTCCATAACTAAAAACCATATGAGGTTTATATGTAGCTCGCCACCACAGATTAGCTTGCCGCGTAAATCCTATGACTATTTTTAAAAATAGCTTAATTTTTTTCTTCGTTTCTCTACTCAATAATAGTATACATCTTCCACATTTGCAACACTTCTGCTGTTTATCTTTTCAATGTGGTATTCATATTCATTACCTGCAGCATATTCCGAATGCATGAAAAACGTTTGGTGTTCCCTAAAGACCACGGGAGACTCCAGATTCAAAGTGGGTTCGATGACGGTTCTGGGATCTTGCTGGTTAGCGTGAGTACTCTTCCCAAAGGGGGGCATAGGGAAGATTGGAGCAAGAGACAGGAGCAGGACTAGAGACATGAAGGCTTCTACCGCTCCCCACCGCCACTGAAACTCATGGCCAGTCAGTCTAAAGACCGAGGTGGCATTTCCAGACTGTGCTTGGCACCGGTGCAACCCAGTTGCCCTGCCAATCACTACATTATCCCAGGTGTCAAATTTTCCGTCAATCCTTCTCACGGATCTCCCCGTGCGAAAGAACATTGATACAGCATAATTTCGTTCTAGGAAGCGAGTGGACCGCCTACTCGTTTGCGCCTGTTCCAATAGATACCAATTTCTTTTCGCTCATCAGGAAAAGAGGCAGGAAAGAGAAAGAAAAAGAAGCATTTGCTTCGCATGTAAGTCTGGTACTAACCTGACGGCATTGCCGGCTCCAGGAAAATTTTTCCACAGTGCTGGTGTGAAAACGAATGCGTGAATGATCTCATGTTTGATGGTTGCCTCCCATTGTGAAACTTCATGCGATTTCATTTTTGCGAACGAATCCGGGCAAATATTCACTAGTCCGGCCACTGGTCTAAATAAACCACGAGATCAGGACGAGATAGCATTTTCTTCGGGAAAGTGTGTAGCGGAAGAAGGTAAATGACGTGAATATGAGTGTGTGCAGGACTACAGCTGAAAACTTGTTGTTCGTGGGTGCGTCACGAAGTTCGGAGCAGGCATCACGCAAACGGCGGGGCAGGAGTTCCAGATAGTGGGAATGGGACAGAAACATTGTTGATGGGTGAAAGTAGCAGATAACAGCCGATAATTTTTCTCAAAAAAACATTATAATGCAAGCACCACAGTTGGCAGCATTCCAACATCAGTACACCGCTGCTTCTACCAGGATAGATGGATATAGAGGATTGAACACATCGACGGTCACTGACGGAAAAAGCAGTGACCGTAGATAGAGGATGGTAGCGATGAGACTGCACGGCAACATCCGACATTGGCTAGCCATGACCCGACCCACATAGCTCAAGCAGCATCGGATTCATGATAAGAGCACATATTAAACTTGTGATGCCAATTAAGGGGAACAGTATATTTGACAGAATGCCAGGGATGTGAAAGAACATTGGAGAGACAAGGAGATGGCTCTTCAAACGACTAGATCAACATCGCAGGGCCCTACACAATCCAGTTGCATAACCGGATAACATTCTCTCCAAACACCGCACCAAAATGCATACACACGAAGGACCCCACACTTACCATTACAGTATTGCACCGCTCCATAGAAAATCCGGTGGAAAGAAAGTTATTGGAAGCACTGGAAATAAGAAGGCTCTCCCCAGAAATGAATAGTAAGGACGAGCTACGTGACGCGCTGCAGTTGATTCACTGACTACGTGATAATGGTGAGTGGTCAGTGATATCATATGCAGAGACAATCACTAGGCGTCCTTCACTATTTAAGAGCGGTGACGGGTAGGTCGGTCATTCAGTCAACACTTCGAGGCGCGGCTCTCGCAAGAAGGCAGCGGAGGTAGAGGCAGCACACCAGTGAAGTCAGGGTCCAGATCTCGATTAGAGACAAACCAGTGGAGCAGGGTGTAGCTTTCGATTGAAGAAGCTAAGTGTAGTATTTTAGATCGCTGAAGAAGGTGCTAAGCACCAAAATATCCAAAAGGAGGGAATATAAACAATAACAAGTCTTTGCGAAAACTTGATTATTTCGGATCCTTTGAATTCCTGCAATAAAATTTTTGGCGCCTCTTTTATGTGTTCTACAGTCAGATACGAAAGCACAATTCGTTCCCATTCCATCGTTAGTAGTAATACTACATCCGACAGCAGAACTGATTCAGATAAATGGTGGCTATTCATACAGATGTGTGTGTATGTGTGTGTGTGGGGGGGACGACCCACAAGTAACGGCGTTCAAATATATATCGCGCTGAAGGAGAAGAGTTATGCCATCGAGTTCCATAATGTTTTAAAGAAAATTCCTTGCCCTACACGATAGTCTTCTTGATACTAAGGGTGGTCGCCAGGTCGAAGTGGCCAGTTGTAGCGAGACGTATGTCATGGGCCGTGTTTTTGAACGCCGAATTCAAATCTGCGTTCAAAGTTTGCAAACGATTCTCCGAACGGAATTATGGTTTGTTCGACTGAAGCTACAGAGAGGAGAGTCGAGCGCGGTTGTCAGCTAATTGCACTAATAGCAGTTAAGCGCAAACCCAATCAACGGTGTCATGTGTAGTGGTAATGGTCTTGATTCGCAGTTGTGACATCGAGGCAAGGGTTCTGCGGAGGGCATTTTTGCACTTTGTGAGAAATGTCTATCTCTGAATAATCTCGAAGTTGTCCCTTCTTGTAACCTCGGCATGATGTCGAATGTTAAGTTATTTCTGCCAAAGAAGGTTGTTAGATAGAACCTTTTTATTGGCCCGACGTTTCGACCTTCTCGTCTTCTTCAGAGGCCTGAAAATGGCTCGAAGCTTTCAATTTGTCACCTACCCGATCAAGCGCCTTCCCCACTCTAGCGTTTCCGACGTCGTGTCCCGAACGCCCCCGAAGAACCCAGTAATAACTGCGCACTACTCACCGAGTAGAGTAAGTGAGGAAGAATGAGTCTCACTAGAGTCTCATCGTGTCACATAAGTCAAAATTGTCATTGTGCACGTCGCCCTTACTGTAGCTCGCTCTCTGATACAAACGGCAAGAACTCATTTGCAATTGACGGACACTCGTTTCGGCCTTTCATCCTTGGTTTTCTCGCAAAAATCCAAAACGATTCCAGGGCTTTCCTGGAAGAGATCTCTGTCTCGTACCCGAGTATAGTACACTTAACATCAAAGTCATTCCCGTTATGCTCCTCAATCTTATGCTTGCCAAGAGGGGTTGTCATCATATCACGCCTCTTCCCAGCTAGGTGTTCATTGATGCGAGTAGCTAAGTCCCTTCCTGTTTCCCCGATGTACGTGCTGTTACAAGCCCTGCATTCAAGTTGATAAATTACCCCAGTTTTCTCACAATCTCCTACCCTTCCATATGGGCAAATAACGCAATCTGGTGTGTCATGCACTGCCTGTCGTACAGTCTGTTGCGAACAAGTTGGCGTTTGATGTTGCTGTTGGGAATGCTCACCAAGACAACATCATCCTGCAACTGTGCTCTCACAATACTGCGACGTATTTCAGTGCTGATGTCATCGGAAATAAAAGGAAGGCACAAGGGTAGCTTCCCTTGGCGTGATACATGTCGAAGGCTGGCATTCGATGTTCTACGATATGCTCGTACCGCATAACCATTTTTTTCACCAACTTTCTAGCAATGCCGTTGGACAGCTTCACCTGCGTATTCAGATATGGTAGCCAACCGTGTTTTGGTACTTCTCGTGTGAGCTTGATGTACTGCGACTGCTCATTTAGTAATCGGAAACACTCATCCATTTCGGATTGTGTTGATGTTATAATGAAGCAGTCGTCGATATACCTGCAGTACATCAAAGGAGAGCGACTCAGTACTGGTTCTTCAATTCTGCTCATGAAGCAGATCGCGAGTACTGGTGCTAGTCGCTGACCCATTGCCAAACCTCTAACTTGAGAGTAATAGCGTCCTGACCATTTGAAGATATTGCAGCGTAAGCATTCCTCAACCAGAGTCATGATGTGCACTTTATTAGTCCAAAGGTGTTAATAGCGGCAACATGCATGTCCAGCATCTCTGACAAAGCCTGTAGAGCTGTTCGTTCTGGACGTTCGTTAACGATATGCTGTCAATGTCACTGGACACATATAAAATAAGATCTATCATAAGCTGCGTCGGTGAACCAACCGACCGAATATCATGACACCTCACAC